TGGGCCCAGAGCCACTCTATCACTTTTTTCCATACCCCGGGTGCCCCAGACGCCTGCAGCTTGCAACACCCTTCACTTACACCTTCCTGGTGAGGTGCCCCTTCACCTCACCATCGAGACCGCATTAAGTCCATGAATCCTGATAAATGGATTTTCTTCTACCGTACTTGTACAGCGTCGCCCTTAATGCTTTCATACAGTCGCTGCATACGGCAGGGACATGGCCATTGCCATTTTTTACCTCCCTCCACCATATGCGGCAACCACAAATTCTCCAATCCGATTGGAAGCTTCAGCACCCTTTCTATAAGACTACTCCCGTGTATAAGACTACACCCGCGTATAAGACGACCCTGCGTATAAGACGACCCTTGATGTTTGAGAAGATTTTCTTGGGTTAAAAAGTAGTCTTATACACCAGAATATATGGTATGTTCAATAAATGAAAGTTACAAATTTTGATACCATAAAGGGAAATTTACCCAACCTTCAACTGTCCAACAGCTTGTTGTTGTTTGACTACAATTACAACACATGTGTATCCTGGTTTCCCACTCCAAGGAGAAGTGAATGTAACAAGTGCTAAAATAAACAGATTTTTTTTAAAAAATCCCATAATTAAATTAAATTTACAAAACATAACCCAAAACTAAAAATAGCATTAAGAAGTTGATGAGGACTAGAAAGACAAGGCTAAAATAAAATAACTAAAACAACAACATGACAATTTATTACTACTTTTTACAAGACTTTGAAACACTGACAGAACACAGACTTTTGAGGAGTTCACAAATGGGGCCTTGTCACATAAACACCATTCTAACTACTGATTGTATTTCAGAAGTCAATGGCATGAGAAGAGATGGCCCTTCAAATAAGTGTGATGGAATTAGGCAAGGTAGCACACATGGGTCACATCGGCCCCTATTTCTTTGTTTATATCTTTGTTTGTTTTGCAATCAACTAAGATTTACTTGTGCTTCTTGTCAATTTGCCTCCTTCACAGCTTTTCCTTTAAAACAAGGTTCCTGTTTCTTGCATCCCTTTTGTGTGATATTACAGTGTTGGAAATGCCATTCTACTTGTGAGAAAGGTGTGTAGTTGTGAATGGTTGGTGTGGGAGAGTGGTGCCCATGAGCTACTTCCAGATGTTGCACGTCCTGAAGTATGTTCTAATTGAGATATCTCCTGCTGTGATCCAAGGCTATACATGCATAAATAAGTTGCTACAGTTGAACTAAACCATTATAGGTGTAAATTACTTAAAAAAAAAAAAAGAACCCAAACTAATTTATTTTAGATATATATGTGCAGCACATTGGAATCAGGTAGTAGCTGCTAAAATGTTCAATTAAACATCATTTTCTGTTCATGTAGTCCTTTTGCTCACCCTTTTAGAGCCATTTCACATGGCCCTAAACTAATTTCTTTCTTAATATGTTTCCTCTGGTATGTCTGATATGTTTTGTTGCTGTGGATAAATGAGCCAAGCTAGCCTGGAATGAGGTATAGAAATTCATAATAATTTCAAAACCAGGTTGTCTTCCTCTCTTAATGCTTCATTAAACCAGAAAGCAGCATTCATTTCTCCTCTTGGAAACATAGAGTTGCCCCAGTCTTAAAACCGGAACCAAGAAGCATGTAGAATAAACTCAGAAATTCTCAGCTGGCAAAGCTGTCATGTTGTTGGTAGTATATTGAGAGTGATATCCCCAGAAACCAGCCATCAAAATACTCATAAGAAGGGGAGCAAGGAGGGGACTCCTTTCCAGAATAGTTTGTTGGGAAGGTCACATAGTGATTCGTCCCCCCCCCCTTTTTTTTGCAATGGCTATAAATGTTGCTGGTTTTCCGCTTTTCATAAGTATTTAACTTTAGAAACACAATCTATGTTTTATATCTGTGGTTTGGAACAAACTTTGTAAAAATTTTGGATGGTGTTTATGAGCCTCTTCCATTTCCAAAACTTCATTGAGTATGAAGGATCTGTACCATTTTGACTTTCCTCTGGACATTGCCTTTGATATTGCCAAATCCAGTGGTGTGAGAAACTAATTTGTTGCCATGCAATGTTAGAAAGAAAATATTTGTATAACATACGCAAGATAGAAGTCCAAATTCTGTTTTGGAATTTGGCAGGGAGGAGGGCTGCTCTTTGGATCATTTCCATTCATATTCAGTGACCTAATTAGTGCAGTATTTTGGAAAGACATTGGCGTCTACCATTGAGTTTTATCAGACCAAAATAAAAATCTTAAAGCTTTAAGATCTGGAAATGAGTTCTCTCCATTTTGCCTGTGTGCAATGAATATGTGCCACTAGACACATAGGGGATAATTCTGTTCATGACAGTGAAGCTCATACCACAAGTATGATGATGAAAATATGTGGGAATGCAGGTTGATAATGGTTAGGTTTTATTACTGATCATCTTTTTCATTGCCTGTAATGCTTTAGTTTTCATTACCATCATACCCATACAAAATAATGTACATTATATATCAGTAGATAAAGTATCACAGTTTCCCTGCCACTGTTTTCACTGTGATCACTCTGTTCGTTGTTATAAATTTAAGATCTTTCATCCCTCTTGATGTCTATAAATCTTCCTTGAGTGATTTCAATGTGTAAGTTTTGTCAGATTCCATCTTTGTCCTTCCATGCAAAAAACAAACTCTCCAGGAATGAGAGGAAGCATGCAAGGTCTAGCGATATCCAACTATATATATCAAGGTAAGCTATTTACCTTATAAGGCAGAGGAACGAAAGACCAAATTGCCAATATCCGCTGGATAGTGGAGAAAGGCAGGGAGTTTCAGAAAAACATCTATTTTTGTTTCATTGACTATTCTAAAGCCTTTGACTGTGTGGATCATAACAAATTGTGGCAAGTTCTTGGTGATATGGGCTTACCAAATCACCTTATCTCTCTCTTGAGAAATCCATAAGGACCAAGTAGCAACAGTAAGAACTGAGCATGGAAAAACAGACTGGTTCAAGATTGGGAAAGGCGTACGGCAGGGTTGTATACTCTCACCCAACCTATTCAACTTGTATGCAGAACACATCATGCGATGTGCGGGGCTTGAGGAATGCAAGGCTGGGGTGAAAATTGCTGGAAGAAACATTAACAACCTTAGATATGCAGATGACACCACTTTGATGGCCTGAAAGCGAGGAGGAGCTGAGGAGCCTTCTAATCAAGGTGAAAGAAGAAAGTGCAAAAGCTGGGTTTCAGTTAAACATAAAAAAAACCAAGATTATGGCAACAAGAATGATTGACAACTGGGAAATAGAGGGAGAAAACGTGGAGGCAGTGACAGATTTCTAGGTACAAAGATTACTGCAGACGCAGACTGCAGCCAGGAAATCAGGTGATGCTTACTTCTTGGGAGGAGAGCAATGTCCAATCTCGATAAAATAGTGAAGAGTAGAGACATCACACTGGCAACGAAGATCTGCATACTTAAAGCAATGGTATTCCCCATAGTCACCTATGTATGTGAGAGCTAGACCTTAGGGAAGGCTGAGAAAAGGAAGATAGATGCTTTTGAACTGTGGTGCTGGAGGAAAGTTCTGAGAGTGCCTTGGACTGCAAGAAGATCCAACCAGTCCATACTTCACGAAATAAAGCCCGACTGCTCATTGGAAGGAAGGATAGTATAGGCCAAGATGAACTACTTTGGCCACATCATGAGAAGAAAGGAAAGCTTAGAGAAGACAACGATGCTGGGGCAAATGGAAGGAAAAAGGAAGAGGGGCCAACCAAGGGCAAGATGGAATGGGATCCTTGAAGTGACTGGCTTGACCTTGAAGGAGCTGGGGGTAGTGACGGCCGACAGGGAGCTCTGGCGTGGGCTGGTCCATGAGGTCACGAAGAGTTGGAAACGACTGAATGAATAAACAACAACCTATTTATGCCATTTGTAGGATGTGTGTGCATTGCCAGAGATACTAAGCTTGTTGATTTACATGGTTGCTTGTCCCAAAAACAACAACAACAACAACAACAACAACAAAAACAGAAGAGTAAAAGCTCCTTGTTTTACCAAAGGCTTGTCAATTCATTTTTGATTTAGTCCTGGAATTTGTGGGCAATAGAAATTTCAAATGTGTCAAAAAGGTTATTACAGTATTCTAAAAGTCTTGGTTAGTGTAAAAAAGATAATCTTATTGCTACAGCAGTTAATTCTATACTGGGTATCAGTTTGTGTACCAGTTTACTTAATTCACCAATCCTTGGAAGCATGCAATCCAAAAGAGAAAGAAACTTAGAAGAAAAAGAAAAGCTATTCTCTGGAGGCATATGATCCAAAGAAAATGTGATCATATTTTAAAAGCGAAAGGGTGAACTGAACTGAAATAAAGCTAAGATTGTGCTTTAAAATGTTGCTTAGCTTATAGATGATGCCTTAGTCCAGTAGTTCTTAGCCTTTTGACCTCTAGATGTTTAGATTTAGATTTTTAGATTAAAAATTTCAGAATCCCTGACTTTGATAGCAGAGGCTTTCAGAAGTACTAAGCACCTTCTGTACCAAACTTAAGGCTCACTGCTTTAGATCATTGGTTTCTTTTAAGATGCTGTCTCTATATGGCAGGATTTTAAATTTCTTAACTGCTGCAATTTTTAAACCAATTAACATCCCCTTACATTTATTTCTATTATTTATATTCCTACAATGAGCCAACAGTGCGTTGTACATAATTATTTTGTATAAAAGTACAAGACAGTTACTTTTCTGATGTTATAGGCTGATCCAGCTTGTTAAAGTATGCTGCCAAAGCAGATGCATATGTCATTTTTGTAGTGGTGATTGAGTGGCTGGAATCTTTAAGCAATGAGCTCACTGTTTGTACGGTTCAACTAAACAATATTTTGCTTTGCTGGCACTTGCCCTTGTCCATTTAAATCAATGAGACTTGCCTTTTAATTTACTGGGTTGTTGGGTCAATCCCTTCACACACACACACATCCTAGTTTATGCTTGCATCATACATACCTCTCCCATGGGCTTTTCATAAATATCCTCCTGCCATAATGTAGCTTTGGCTTGTATAGTATCGCGCTGAAGGGCTTCAAGGACCTTCTTTGGTGTTACAAAGCCATACTGGGCTTCAAGTAAAGCCAGGTTGATTTTTTCAGCTTTTAAAACACCAATGACTTCATCCTGTGCCTGTGAAAACAGGGATTACTGCAGTGAGGGTTAGCTCTCGGTATCAGTTGTTTGAAACAATTGCATTTTATTGATTCATACATTTAGAGACATTTTTAAGGGCACACCAAATGGATTTTTCTCTGTTTCAAACATTACTACTTAATTTTTTTGGACATATAAGCAATTGAGAAAGTAATCTGTTCAAACACTACAATTTTACATTTTTGGACACATAAGCAATTGAGAAAGGGAAGCGTTGCTGTTAAACAGCAGTATATATTCAGCACATGTAAAAGTCACTTTGAGGAACTAAATATCTCGGGTATTATGATTCCTGGCCATATTGGCTGAGGGATTCTGGAAGGTTATTGTTGTTCTTGTTTGCGATCAAGTAGGTAACCTGTGGCAGCCTTAAGGATGAGAGACTTCCAAAAGCCTCAGTTATCAACAGTCCTACTCAGGTCTTGCAGACTGTGAGCCATGACTTCTTTGATTTGCATTTATCTATCTGTAATGTGGTGTTCCTCTTTCCCTACAGCTTTCCACTTTACTGAACATTATTGTTTTTTCCCCAGTTCTGTCATATCATTTCATCTCATGTTGTATCTGAAGTACAGTGTTCTCAGTTGGGTCATTTTGGGCTTCTAGGTAGAGTATAGGTTTGACTAGTTCTTAAACCCATTAGTTTGTCTTTCTGGCAATCTGTGATATGGACCAACCCCTCCTCCAGCATCACACCTAAAATAAGTAATTTTTCTTCTTATCACCTTTCTACAGCTTTCACAACAGAAAGAAATCTGACGTACTGTGGCATGATCCCAAGTGGGAAAATTCTGGGAGATCTAGTCTCCCAAAATAATTTTTTCAAGGTTCTTGATTTAAAGAGGTTCCCAACCTTTGGTCTTCTAGGGCCTCAGCTCTCAGAATAACTGTTAGACAAGCTAGCTGGGGCTTCTGGGACTTGAAGCGCCATACACCTGGAAGACGAAAGGTTGAGTACTGATTTTAAGCAGTGACTCATCCTTTCTTTCGTCTTTCCTCACCCTGTTTTCTGATATCTTACCCCCACCTTCTGCTGTTGTCCCAATTTAACCTTAGTGGATTTTCTTCCAGCCCATCCCTGCACATACTAAATATTAATAGCGTTTATAGAAATGATGCCACGAAAACAGGATACAGATAAGCAAGCATATGAGCAGCACCCACAATTTCCTCTTACATATTCCCTCTTGATTCACCAACTTTATTTTTGGATGTGAAGAGAGAAGTAATGTTGCACTTTTTATCTAATGCATGCTGTTTCTCATTGAACAAGTTGAATTAGTTAAAAAGCCACTTTGATGATAGTGAAAACTATTTTTAGATTTTTGTGTCACTTTTTCCCTCCTGTGAGAAGCAGGAGCAAAGGTACCAAGTTACTCTTTGTTGTTTTACGTCAAGCTAGAAGCTGCCTGCTACTATTGTTACATGCCTGTGTTTGTGCATCGAAACCAGTGAAGTGCACAGTACAAGAGGATGTGACCTTCCATAGTGTGCATTCCAATAGCATGCAATAATGGCAGCTCTTTAAAACAAGATTAATTGGCCTCTGAGTTGGCAGAGTGACCTGTGTATGTTTGTGATTACCTATGCAATACGTATGTCATACATGTGGCCAAGATTTTTCAAAAATAATTAAAGGTGTTAAAGATGTTGGGTTTCGGGTATCATGGGCTTAGATCTCTCACTACCCCCCTCTGACGAACCAGGCTTTTAAAAATGACTCAAGTTTGACATTCTTTAAAATTGCCTTTGAAAATCACACCCAATATGTTTAGTTGAGATGCTGCTCCTGTATCATCTTGATGGCAAGCAAGGAACAACATGGAGCTTCTCAGTTTAAACAGTTTATGCACAGTCCAGCTAAAGTTTAGCCAGATGTGTTGAAATCTGATTTCCTACAATGAGATCTCTTGGATTTTAAAGGTGCTTCCCTTAGACAAGTGGTTCTCAACCTGTGGGTTCCCAGGGGTTTGGGCCTACAACTCCCAGAAATCCCAGCCAGTTTATCAGCTGTTAGGATTTCCGGGAGTTGAAGGCCAAAAACATCTGGGGACCCACAGGTTGAGAACCACAGCCTTAGACAGATTGTGTTCTTAGGTTAAAAACAAAAGTGGAGGGGGCCATGGAGCAGTGGGAGAGTATGTTCAATCTTCCTTAAACACTATGTTGAAAAAAAGTTTGGTAAATGCATAAATAAATACATTTTTAATATGTAGGAAACATGATTCAGGAGTCAGAAGAAGAAATGGAAGGGCCGCGGGTAGTAAGAATCTCAAGTTTAAAGATAGACTATTAAAAATTAAAGAATTACACAATCCACCACCAACAACAACATGTCTTGGTGTCTAGGTTCTTGGCGTTATTTGTGGTATTGATTTTGAGAATTGCATTGAATAGATTGTATCACCTTAGATATGGTTATCATGTTGTTGTTTTTTTTTTGTAGGCAAGCAGATGGCGATTGGTAGATGCCATATGTTCTGTATTTCAAAACTAAATCTGGTAGGGGAGAAGTAGTTCCATTTTTGGGATCAGAAGGTCAAATATACACAGGATCAGTGCTAACATTTAAGGTATTAAAATATGTGTTGGCCAGTGTTGCCCATGCCATAGTATTCCTAGAATCATAGAATCATAGAGTTGGAAGAGACCATATGGGCCATCCAGTCCAACCCCCTGCCAAGAAGCAGGAAAATTGCATTCAAATGCCAAGAAGCAGGAAAAATGCATTCAAATTGCATTCAAAGCACCCCTGACAGATGGCCATCCAGGCTTTGTTTAAAAACTTCCAAAGAAGGCGCTTCCACCTGGCTTCTTTATATGGGTTGTGAAAGCTAACAATGAAGGAGGTTGATAGAAGAAAGACTCAATGAAAATGTGTTTTTACAGAAGAACTCTATGAATGGTAGAAACTGCTAAAAAAATCAATAAATGGACTAAGAGCAAATCAAGCCTAAACTTTCATTAGAATCCAAAATAACCAAACTGAGGCCATCATGTGTTGGGCATCTTAAAATTATATGACTCACTAGAAAAGACAACAACTCTTGGAAAAGTGGAATGTCTTAGGAAAAGTGACAGATCCCATTACAGATGGACTCATTTAAGGGAGCCACAACTTTAGGTTTGTAAGATTTGAGGATGGATGTTCACCATTGAGGCTTTTGAAAGTCTCATTCATATTGTTGTCACAAATCAAACTTCCCTTAACATAATATAATGTAAATCACAATGTAAAACTTCACTCAGGTTCCTGAATAAAGACCTTCATAACTATTGCGAAACAGTGACAGAATTTTGTAGTTGGTATGCAGAAGTGTCTCCGTATATTTTTTAGTCTCCAAAGCAACAAGCAAACATGATGATATACAAGCATGTTCATAAAGTGCACCACTCCAATTATTTAGAATATATTAAAATGAATTGTTTCTGTTTATTTTCTATGTAGTGGCTCAACTGTTTGATCTGTTTTTGTGACTGATATACAAGATATCCAAAATTATCTTTACAGTTTCAATATACTGGAAATGATAAAAATTATTTTTGGATAGTCTGTATATGAAAATATTCACTACCCATTACTCAGTTTACATATGCACTTTTGTGTATATTCAATTCTTAATTTTATAATGAGTGCCTCTGTTTTGAAAAGCATATAGATATTATACTAACAATGAACATTAGTGACTGGCCTCTATTTCTTTGATAGACATTTTCTGTTGCTGCGTATGCATGCTTCTTTTCAGTTCTTTCCGTTTCAGACTTCATTTCAAAATAAAATTCCATGGAGAAATCTATTTTTGTTTCTTCCATATATGTTTCCATATTACCATATATTTGTTTAATATAAAGAATATGCAGCATTTAACTCTGTATATTGTCGTCTTTTTAAAAGACAGAATAAAAGCCAGAACATCTAGAAAAGTGCAATTTGTGAGATATTAAGGTGTTTCATCATTTTATCAAAGCTTTGTTTTAACTGACTTCAATTTCACTGGTATGTATAAATAAAGCAGTGCTGATCTTTTAAGTCCCATTGAGGAAATTCCAATGAGATATTCTGGAAGATGTTGCATGAAATATATAGTGGTGTGGCACCATGTCTTTCTGAACTGTATTACCACCCCTTTGGGAAGACCTGCTTAACTCTTGTTTCTGTTTGTAAGAGTAATATAAGCATTTAAAGTTGTGCCAATCTGTTGTGCCAATAAGTGTTCATATTCTATGACACCCAGTTCATTTTGAAATATTTGGCTTATATTCAGTACTCTCTCTCTATATATATATATATATATTAGTCATTTGGCATGTATATGTTTTACTACTTAGCCTTTATGTACTGCATTCGTAATGAAGACTACCGCTATATACGAAAACTACTGGATTTATGATGCATGATATAGCACTTTGCTTCACATACAAAAATTGTATATTCATATAATTTTTGTTTCATATAAAATAAGTCACATACGGTATATAATCTTTATAAGCCTTATTGATTGGTAACAGAGACAAATAAAAGTTGACCAAATTCAAACTATAGTGTGAATGTTAGGGTATATCCACCTCTAGGCCAGTGGTTCTCAACCCCGGGTCCCCAGATGTTTTTGGCCTACAACTCCCAGAAATCCCAACCAGTTTACCAGCTGTTAGGATTTCTGGGAGTTGAAGGCCAAAAACATCTGGGACCCCAGGTTGAGAACCACTGCTCTAGGCTTTCATAATTCTTTCTCTGGTATCTTAGGAAGAAGAAACTGGAAGCTTATATTACTCAATTACCATAACTTAACATTTTCCCAAAAATTCTAAATTAATTTGTGATTAAATATAATGACATTGATATAAACCAGGTTCTTGTAATTTCATGTTGACTTTTTGCAAATGAACCAACTTTTCTCAGGATTGGGTGACACAGAAACATACAGTTAATTTTAAAAATAATGATGAAACATTGTGAATATTGTGTTAGTGGACGATTCAGATAATGATATGAACTTGTGAGAGATAAGGCTGATTGCTATCCTCAGGAACATGTCTGAGGTGACCTAATACATTCATAGCAGAAATGAGGCTTGGACTAGACTTACCTGTTCATAATTCAGTCTTGTAGACCACAGTTTGTATACACTAATTTGGGATTGAGTCCAATTGAACTCACTGAGATGTTATTGTGAGAACATACAGAGGGTTGTACTATTATGCATTGTGCGTTAGTAATACTGTCACTTTTTTAGCGATGTCTTTTCAATGAAATGTTCATAGTGTATGCTATATATTTGCAGTACCATAGATGTAGAACACATTTAAATATGTATTTATGATGAACTGGAAATATACTGGCCTGTAATTCACCCTCAAGCACACTCAGAAGAAATAAAAGATCATCTCGAGACAGATCTTCTCCCTTCTTGGAATAATTTCTCTTTTTTTCATCTGATTCAGGACTGCTTAGAATGGCATCTTGTTCTTTTGCACAGCAATTTTCTGTTTGTCTCCTATTCATTTTTATCCTGTCTATACTTTCTGTGTGGGTGCCCTTTAGCATTTGTTGATACTCTTTTAATTTTGATGGTTTTTGTGTGGTGTTATTTCTGGAAGGCATTTCCAAATATCTGTTAAAGGAAGACAAAAATAAAACAGCTTAAAAATACAGGACAAAATACAAAACTTCGAGATATAATGCATAGCAGAACTTGCTTTGGATCTTTGTTATATCTTGCTAAGGCCTCTTTTCTTGGGTCAGGGATAGCTGTTTTTATGTTCAGCCAGGCACTATACAGACTGTGAATTGTGTCCATACCTGTTGGTAAACTAGGAGGAAGTTTTGAATCACCTCCAGCTGCCTGTGCAGTATGGCCTACTATGATAATCAACTTTAAATAAGGAGTTGAGGTATTGACTCAATTGCCAAAGGTTCTTGCAGCATCTTGTAGTTTTTGTATATGTTGTTTTACTATACTGTTTGTTTTGTGTTTATGCCAACATCTGTACTGCAATAGCTAAACTCTCCATCCATCCATTCATCCTACCATCACTTTATCCATATCGTGCCTTTGTCTCAAACACCCACATATGCCAAGGGTCCACTGTACCACCAACTCAGACCAAATTAGGGTTTTATTCTCACACACAAAAAATTCAAAACTGGCTGTTATAATTGGCAAATAAGCATTTTACTACGGTTTTATTCACTGTCTATTTCCTACAGCAATTTCATCAAATGATTGGTGACCAGAACTGTCTTGTATGTTCCTGACTATAGAGGCCCTTATGCATGCTCCACAGCTTTGATTGTGGGGAAGAGTTTATTTACCAGTATTGCCCAGTGTTGATTCCCTTGGCCTACACTGGTTGCATTGGATTGCAATTTCCATTACGCCAGAGAGCACAACCAGTGATAAGCGATTACAGGAACTGCAATCCAAAGCAGAACATCTAAAGAAACTCAGTTGCCCACTCTTGACCCATTCAGTCACCCAAATGTAGCATAAAGACGTATTTGTTTTATTAAGTCTTTAATCTTCACTTTCTGTGACTTTTTAAATTCCTCTGATGTACTGTTTTATTGATTGCCCCTTTTGATTTTGAGACAGCTTTGTTCTTTTATTATACTGTTCACATTTCCCACACCAAAGGCAGATGGTATGGGGGCGACAACATTAAGAAAGTCTTCAATCTATACTTTTCAGAACACATCATTGTTGCTTTTTAACAATTAGAACTTCAATCTCAAATACACTTCCTAGTGGGTTAGCATACATCAGATGACTTCCTTCTCAGTAAAAATGCACAGGTTTTAATTGTATCATGTTAATAAAATTCTCCAAAACTGAGGAATCCATTAGGAAAGAGGATACCAAAGTTCAGTGTAAAGCCTGGATAATTCTGGAATTATAGTACAGAAAAGTAATTCTTTTTCAAGATCTGGTTCAATGCTAGAATACACAACACTGTGTGCAGTCCAGAGTAAATATGGGAAAGACCCTTGCCTGAACTTATGGGGAACATTTATGGTTGGTTTATAGATATAAGCAACTCTGCGTTTTAGGTACAAATGGCCTGACTTACTATTAGGAAGCTTATAGTCCTTTGGTGTAACACTAATGTTGGAGGCAGATCTCTGGGTATACCTAAGGCAGTGGTTCTCAACCTGTGGGTCCCTAAATGTTTTGGCCTTCAACTTCCAGAAATCCTAACAGCTGGTCAACTGGCTGGGATTTCTGAGAGTTGTAGGCCAAAACACCTGGGGATCCACAGGTTGACAGCCACTGACCTAAGGGATATTTATGCTGTTTCTCCAGTTTGCCCTACACAAAATGACATGATTAGTCAATACAGTGATTGCAATGGGGAATTAATTGGATATAACATTTCCTATGCTACATATACCTGTAGGCAAATGGATGTGATATTTATTTATTATTTACTGCATTTATATACTGCTTTTCTCCTCCTGAGGAGACTCAAAGCAGTTTCCAACATAATAATGGCAAAATTAAATGCCGTACATACATGTGAAAACCAAGATATATAATTAGACAATAACATATAACTATAAATTAAAAGCCTAACCATATTAAACATAAAACATAGAATGACATTTGAACATAAACATAAAATTAAAACATTGACAAATAAATAACATTTATATTATGTTACAGCTATAGGTGTAGTGTAGTACAGATGCAGGTGTAGTCAGAATTTTGGTATTGTGGATACCAAAATCCATGGATGCTCAAATCCCATTCCATATAATGGAATATTAAAATTGTGCCCCTTATATAAAATGGCAAAATCAAAGTTTGGGGGGTCTTTTGGATGTAAAAACAAATACGTTTCTAAGCTGTGGCAGGTTGCATCTATAGATGCAGAATTCTTGGATACACAAGGGCATCTGTATATTAAATTGTGAAGGAAGTTGACAGTAGTGGAGGAGAAAGCCAGAGGCAGTGGCGATCATCTTGGTTAGGGAAATACAGTTGAGGCCTTTGAGGCCCCTTCTACACAGCTGAGTAAAATCCCACATTTTCTGCTTTGAACTGGAATATATGGCAGTGTGGTTCAGATAACCCAGTTCAAAGCAGAGATCATGGGATTTTCTGCCTTGATATTCTGGATTATATGGCTGTGTGGAAGGGCCCTGAGTCAGACGAGAGTCACATTATCTCAGTTACTTCCTGAATGAACTCACTCTACTTAGAAAATCATAACAATCTGTTAGGGAAACCATCTTCATAATAGGGTGCCTCAGGATCCTAAATGTATCTCAGAATATTCCTAGCAACCCTCCCTCTAGAGGATGTTAAAATGCTAGGATGACAGGCATTTCTGTCATTCCTCATATTGCACTAACCATAAAACATGCATGGAATGTAGATTTGGAAGTCTTTCCCTTATATGTATATACATTTTAAAACATCTGGATTAAGTATTTAGGATAGAATCTGAATTAAATACTATGCTTTTACTTATTCCATCATTACCAGGTGGTTCATAATAGAAGAGTGTCTAATATAAGTGTCTGACATGCTGGATAAGTTACTATGTTGCATGGTGATTGAAGACATTTTGTACCCTTTGGGAAGTTCTTGTCTGTTGTTTTTGCTAATCTTGATCAACAATGCCATATTTGCCTTGAGTTTCCCAACCTTTAGTCCTCCAGCTGTTTGGGATTTCAATTCCCAGAAGCCCTAGCCAGATTGGTGACTATCAGGAATTCTGGAAACTGAATTCTACAATACTTTGAGAACCAAAGATTGGGAACCACTGCTCTATGTCAGTGAATTGCCAGGTGCTAAAAGGTTAAGGTAAAGGCAAAGCACTCAATCTGTTGTAAATGTTTGCAACCTATACTATGCTTGCTCTCCCAATAAGTTTCAAACTTGTTTCAAAACCTGGAATAAATATCGTCTTAATGTGGTTAATATCAAGACTGTTTTCCATGGTTGTTTTCTTTCCTGAGCTAGAGAAGAAGGACACACATTTCAAATACTGGCATGAACTTGGATTTGTTGTTGAATTTTGTTTCAATACTGGCAACATGAGAGTGTCTACCAACACACCACAGTAGCTGGAATCCTTTCTTCTACACAACAATCAAATATGCATTTTCATCCTGGTAAACTAACAGCAAGAGCTTAAAAATGGAAAACTGAGGCATGTTCAGTATGGTTTGAAGTATCCTGATAGTGGACAAGACTGGCTGTAGTAACATTATATGGGAGTTTCTACTTGTAATATGTATATTTTGTATAAGAAACACAATTCTACTACACCTTTGTATATAATGGGACTTGAGCATCTGCACATTTTGCTATCTACGGGGATTCTGATATCAAACCCCAGAAGATACCAAGGACCATAGTCCTGTTATTTCCTGCATTTCCATCCAAGAGAACTGTGGACTGCTCAATACCTCAACATGGTATTGTCTCTCAGTCTGGAAGAACAGTTAATATGTGACCCATACTTTTGATGCTCTGGGTGTGATCAGTTCATAATGCTAGCAATAATTAAAAGAAAGGAGAATAAAGAACTTGGTTTATCTTGCAATTTTCTGTCTGAGCATTTCCTAGGCTCTGTGGCTCCTCTATTGTATTGCTTTTCTCTTTGGCATTTTATTAATGCTTTGAGGACATGAATGAAAGCTGTAGTGGACATGTTGAAACCCCTCCAAGGGGATGTTTTATATTACACCGAACTTGGATGACTAATGCATCAGGCAGCTGGCTTTGTGGCCTGTTTTGGTTTAGCAGAGGGTGTAAAGTGGTAAGAAACACTGGTGTGTCTATGAAGCAAATCATTGATTCTTTAGAACCTCTGCATTCTTGCTTTGCTTTTTAAAGCAGACCTTTTATTTCTTGGGATTCTTTTGGTAGTTTAATAGTTTTGATTATTTAGTGTGAATGCATTTCAAAAGATGCTTCGCGTGTTTCTCATTTTATCCAGGCCATTGCTTTAGGTAATTTGCACTAGAACTTGGTTGATAATATTCATGGCATTTTAAGCAGATCAGGTAAGAATGGATCCCCTCAATTGTTTCTCCCTTCTCACAAATGGTGATCCTTGGTGTGAACAGTTTGATACACATTTGAATAAGACAAGGCTCACTTTGGAAACCTCGATTTCTTTCAGCTATTTTCTTTATTCATAAGGATACAGTAGCTCTAGCTTATTCATAATTTTACTAAGTCCTTTGGTTGAACTTGTATTGGTTGATAACCAAAAGGTCTACTAGTAGCTTTGCATGCTGTCAATTAGCTCCTTAGTTTGCCTGTCTGCTACCCTTTTTCATAGTCCATTTTTCACATTGTCTTGGGAATATGCTTTTTATATTCCTCTGAGTGTGACAGTAGGCTAGAATTACAATTGCATCTGCCATGTCAGGGCAGTCTTCCAAAACAACAAAGCATAATTGATAAAGTAGATACAGGAGCCCCCGGTGGCACAATGGGTTAAACCCATGTTGGAAAAAAAAAACAGGAGGTAGAGAATGAAAATAATTTCTGATTTTTCAGGCTGTATGGTTGTGTTCCAGTAGCGTTCTTTCCTGATGTTTCATCTGCATCTCTGACAGGGCCTCCTCAGAGTTCTGTTCTGTTGGAAACGGGGC